ATACAAAACCAGATGGCCACACATATATATTATATAATTATTGGTACTTTGACACTCGTACATACTCATACACTGTTTCCACACAATGCCTCTAGTTGCCTGTGGTGTAAGTCACAGTTGCCATAGCTATGTGTGTGTGGAGGCGTTCTAAGAGAATCACACAAGGACACTGTCTCCGTCCCAACTGGCACCCTATTTCCTGTACAGCGCATTACTTCTGACCAGAGCCGTAGTGCACTATATAGGGAACTGGGGGCCATTTGGCACGCAGACAGTGTTTGTTTTGTTACTTCATACAGTTCAGCCTGAAAGAAAAAGATGTGAGAATTAAACTGTTATTTCACTCTCTTTCCCAATCTCTTTTCTCTCTCTCTCTCTCTCTCCTCTCTCTCTCTCTCTCTCTCTCCTCTCTCTCTCTCTCTCCTCTCTCTCTCTCTCCTCTCCTTTTCTCTCTCCCCCCCCCCCCCCCCCCTCCTCTACCTCCCTCCCTCTCTCTCTTCCTCTCAGATGTGTGTCTTCGACCAGGAGAACTTCCAGGGCCGCTGTCTGGAGATCACCAAAGAGTGCATGAACGTGTGTGACATGGGCATGGACAGGGTCCGCTCCCTGCGTGTCGACTGCGGCCCGTGAGTACCAGCCTGTCCCTCGACACACACACACCTCATTTGTGTCACACACGCACACCTCAGCTTCACCAACACACACCTCATCCCCACATGCACAGTCAAATATTTTCCCTTACACTACTATGACACACTCATACCGGCGTTTGTCAATCTCACACAAACTAATATCTATTTGTATCAAACGTTGCTGCAACCATGGTTCTCAATGTGTTTCTACCTCTCTCTCCCCCTCTCTCCTCCCCCTCCCTGACCCCTTCCCCTCTCCCCCTCTCTCTCTCTCCTCCCCCTCCCTGACCCCTCCTCTTCCCCTCTCCCTCTCTCCTCCCCCTCCCTGACCCCTCCTCTTCCCCTCCCCCTCTCTCCTCCCCTCCCGACCTCTCCTCTTCCCCTCCCCCTCTCCTCTTCCCCTCCCTGACCCCTCCTCTTCCCCTCCCTCTCTCTTTCCTCCCCTCTCCCTGACCCCCTCCTCTTCCCCCCTCTCTCCCTCTCCTCCTCTCCCCCTCCTTCGCCCCCTCCCTCCTCTTCCCCTCTCTCCCTCTCTCCTCCCCCCTCCCTTACCCCTCCTCTTCCCCTCCCTTCTCTCTCCCTCCCTCCCTCCCCTCCCTTCCCCTCCCCCTCCTCCTTCTCCCCTCCCTCCCCTCCCCTCCTCTCTCCCCTCCTCCCTCTCCTCCCCTCCCTGACCCCCTCCTCTTCCCCTCCCCCTCTCCTCTCTCCTCCCCCTCCCTTCCCCTCCTCTTCTCCCTCTCCCTCCCCCTCCCTGACCCCTCCTCTTCCCCTCCCCCTCTCTCCTCCCCCTCCCTGCCCCCTCCTCTTCCCCTCTCCCCTCTCTCCTCCCCCTCCCTGACCCCTCCTCTTCCCCTCCCCCTCTCTCCTCCCCCTCCCTGACCCCTCCTCTTCCCCTCTCCCTCTCTCCTCTCCCTCTCTCCTCCCCCTCTCTCCTCTCCTTGCTCCATCTCTCAGTTTTGTGGGTTATGAGCAGATGAACTTCTGTGGTGAGATGTTCATCCTGGAGAAGGGAGAGTACCCTCGCTGGGACTCCTGGAGCAACTGTCAGAAGAACGACTACCTGCTGTCCTTCAGGCCCGTCCGCATGGTATACCATACAATCCTCCATTTGTCTGTCTCTCCCCATCACTCTATCGTTCCATATCTCCAGCACTACATCTCTGTCATTGGCCAGAAGACATTTACATACGCTCATCTGATTATCGTGTATTTCTGTTGAACTTTCTGCTGTTAATAATCATCTATCTTACTATCCATCCATCTACTCATTCATCCATTCATTCATTTATCCATCCATCCATCTACTCATTCATTCATCCATCCATTCATCTACTAATTCATTCATCCATTCATTCATTTATCCATCCATCCATCCATCTACTCATTCATCCATCCATCCATCCATCCATCCATCCATCCATCCATCCATTCATTCATTCATTCATTCATTCATTCATTCATTCATTCATTCATTCATTCATTCATTCATTCATTCATTTACGTATCCATCATCCATCCATCTACTCATTCATCCATTCATTCATGTATCCATCCATCTACTCATTCATTCATCCATTCATAATTTATCCATCCATCCATCTACTCATGTATTCATCCATCCATTCATTTATCCATCCATCCATCTACTCATTCATTCATTCATTCATTCATTCATTCATTCATTCATTCATTCATTCATTCATTCATTCATCTATCCATTCATTTATCCATCCATCCATCTACTCATTCATTCATCTATCCATTCATTTATCCATCCATCCATCTACTCATTCATTCATCCATCCATTAATTTATCCATCCATCCATCTACTCATTCATTCATCCATCCATTCATTTATCCATCCATCCATCTACTCATCCATCCATTCATTCATTTATCCATCCATCCATCGACTCAATCTTTCATCCATTCATTCATTTATCCATCCATCCATCTATTCATCCATCCATTCATTAATTTATCCATCCATCCATCGACTCAATCATTCATTCATCCATTCATTCATTTATCCATCCATCCATCTACTCATTCATTCGTTCATCCAGCCATTCATTTATCCATCCATCGATCTGTCTAAATTGATCAGTTCCGCCTTTTATCTGTTCATGTTAGTTTTTATACCATAGGCCTAACTCCCCCTCTCCCCCCTCTCCCCCCTCTCCCCCTCTCCCCTCTCTCTCAGGACCCTGAGAAGCACAAGATCTGCCTGTTCGAGGTTGGAGAGTTCAAGGGTCGTAAGATGGAGATCATGGATGATGATGTTCCCTCTCTGTTCTCCTACGGATTCACCGATAGGGTCGGCAGCATCATGGTCAGCTGCGGAACGTGAGTGGTCCTCGCCGCGGCAACAGGCCACACCCACACCGCAGACAAACATGCCATTGGTCTATAGGATGACTAGTCCTGCCCCCACTCCACAGACACACATGCCATTGGTCTATAGGATGACTAGCCCCGCCCCCACACCGCAGACACACACATGCCATTGGTCTATAGGATGAGATAGAGCAGGAAGAGGACAGTGATGTCATTATGACATAAACAACCAGGCATCACCAAACCTAGATAGTGAAGTCATCATAGCCCTCAAATTAGATCGTTTGGAATCGACTGTACAAATAGCTTCATTCATTTCAAATTGCTGAGGCGTTCCACTGTTTCTATGTAAATAATAGAATTCAGAACCAACTGTTCCAAATATAGTTTGGAATGACGAAAGTTTCCACAATAGTTTTAATTGTCAGAGGGGTTCCACTTAGAAGATAATTTAATATATAGACTCTCTGTTTCCCTCTGGCTTCCTGTGCCTACATACTTCAAATATCTAGTCTGCCACCCAAATGGCCCCCTGTTACCTCTATAGCACTGTGGGTACTGGTCAAAAGTAGTGTACTAAATAGGGAATAGGGTGCTATTTGGGACGCAGCCCTGAAGATCTATGATTCATGACATCACTTTTAGAAATGCAGCAGGAATGATGTCAGGATGTCTTTTCTGTTTCAATCAGCCTCTTCAGAATCAGAACAAAGGGTTTTATATAGCACAGTATGTTTGTGTGTGTGTATGTGAGCTTCGTCTCTCCAGTGTATCTGCACAGTGAGAGAGGAGATAGGTCCAGTCCTTCATAGATGGGTTTGGCCCACAGTGAGTAGACAGGTTCCCCACTGGTTGAAACAACAAACGGACAGACTGGTACCTGTGGCACTACAGGCAAAACGTGACAAACAGATCAATATCTCTATTTAGCAAGACATATCTCTCCCTCACAGCCTCCCACTCCCCTGCCTGTTCCTCTGATGCTGTTGGCTTCTCATCTTCTCTCTCTGTCTCCCTCGGTTCTCTCCCTCGGTTCTCTCCCTCGGTTCTCTCCCTCGGTTCTTTCCCTCGGTTCTCTCTCTTCTACTTTGCACTTCCTTGTTTATCTCTCTACCTCTGTGTCCCTTCTGCCCTCTCTCTCTGTCTCACACTATCGATTCTCTCTCCGTCTTTCTTTCTCGGCCTCTGTGCATCTGTTCTTCCTCCTCTCTTTCTCCCATCTTGCTCTCTCTCTTCCCCCATTCCATCCCTCATTCACTCAGCCCTTTCCACCTTCTCCTCTCTCCTCTCTCTCTCTCTCTCTCTCTCTCTCTCTCTCTCTCTCTCTCTCTCGCTCTCTCTCTCTCGCTCTCTCTCTCTCCCCTTGTCTATTTCTCTCCCTCCATCCCTCCATCCCTCTCTCCCTCCATCCCTCTCTCTCTCCCTCTCTCCCTCCTCCCTCTCTCCCCATCCCTCTCTCCCCTCTCCCTCCATCCCTCTCTCTCCCTCTCTCCCTCCATCCCTCTCTCTCTCCTTCCATCCCTCTCTCCCTCCACCCTTCTCTCCCTCCATCCCTCTCTCTCTCCATCTCTCCCTCCATCCCTCTCTCTCTCCTTCCATCCCTCTCTCCTTCCATCCCTCTCTCCCTCCATCCATCCCTCTCTCCCTCCACCCCTCCCTCTCTCCTTCCATCCCTCCACTCATCCCCCTTTTCCTCTCCTCTTTTCTTCCAGCTGGGTGGGTTACCAGTTCCCTGGATACCGTGGTTCCCAATACCTCCTGGAGAAGGGTGACTACAGGCACTTCAACGAGTTCGGCGCCCGTCACCCCCAGTTCCAGTCTGTGAGGCGTATCCGCGACATGCAGTGGCACCAGCACGGCTGCTACACCTTGTCCAGCAAGTGAGGGTCCCAGAGGGCGAGAAAGAGAGGGAGCGGAGGAGAGGTGGAGGAGGGCCACAGTAGAGGAGGAGGAGGAGGAGGGAAGGCTAAGAGGGAAAGGAAGAAAGCACCCTATCTATAGGAAGATAGAAAGCTCCCTCCATCCGACTCCTCATCCCCCTCCCGGTGATCCTCTCCGCGGTTAGATACTTTTTTTAGAGCGAGGGAGAGAGTGAGGGATGGAGGGAGGTAATAGTTTTTTTTTCTCTTGAGACGGCGCCCTCTACCTGTTGAGAGATGTAAGACTTGTGGCGTACAGCTGCCCTGATTTGACAGATGGGTCAACACCATGAAACGACAATGGATTCTAAGACCATTGACGTAAAACAGACAACAACAACTCACAGATCAACAAAGACCAGATCTGGTGGGTTGATAGGTAGATAACTAGATATTCTCTCTATTTTTTTCTCTCTCTCTCCGTCTCTATTATTTTCAGCCCCCTCCCTTCCCCTCTCTCTCTCTCTTTTTCCCCCTCGCATAATTTATTTTTCATCCAACCATCCTGTTTCTCTTCAAACCTAAATTCAGCCCAAAATGAGACGACTAGTGTTTCTCTTTTGACTCTGATCTACGGGGGTATGGGTGTGTGTGTGTGTGTGTGTGGGTCTGTTGTCGTGGCCAGAAGAGGGAACGGGATCCAGGGTTCTAGATCCGTACCTCTGCCACAGTCACTGTAAAAGCTTGTATTCAGACCCTGCACCCTCTTCAATCCAAACCCAAATAAAGAGACTCTAAACCTGACCTGAATTCACCTCTTATTCTTCATTTAGACATATTTTTCTCTTGTGGCGGTGATTGTGTGACAGAGAGGAGATTCCACAACTTTTGGAGGACAGTATAAGTTAATAAGAAAGCTTCTTAATTGTTAAAAGCAAAACCAACGTGTTTCGTGTCTTGGCCTTTATCAGGGTTTTAGACAGAACAAATAATTAGCCTTTTATACATTGATTGTGTGATATCATGGCAGCAATAGCAGTGGAGGGGTTCTTCATATAATGAACAGAAATAAATTAAAATAGTAAAACAATAGTAAAAACATATATTCATGTTTCTACGTGTACATAGAATGAACAAGTAGGGTTATTCTGAAAGAGTGTCGATGACGTAGCTGTCCACTATTTTCACTCCAAAATATAATATTAATATTATTTCAACACAAGGTAGATAACATGGTTTCCCACTCACGGCCATCAAAATCCTCAAATCGTTGGCTTTATTTTCCCACAATGGGATGCCTTTTAGTTTAGCTTTGTATTTATTAGTATTTTTGTCACCAATAATTAAACATCTATGACGTGCTTGGGCTGGACAGAGCTACCAGGAAGTGAACCTGTTGTTGGATCCCAAGGAGAGACAGGGCTGATAAAGTGAATTTATTTTTGGACTTGTCTTTATTTCATTCTACCTAGAACTCTAAACATTGCAATGACTCACTGAAGAAGCTCCAGGAATTCCACTTTTGTCCCTCCCTCCCTCCCTCCCTCCCTCCCTCCCTCCCTCCCTCCCTCCCTCCCTCCCTCCCTCCCTCCCTCCCTCCCTCTTTACCTCTCTCCCTCCCTCCCTCTCTACCTCTCTACCTCTCTACCTCCCTTCCTCTGTACCTCCTTCCCTCTCTCCATCCCTATACCCCCTCTCTTCTCCTCCTTCCCTACTTCCCTCCTTCCTTCTTTTCAACCTGAAAGGATAAAACATTTCCCAGCTAGCACATCTGGTTCCTTGAAAGTTGTGGAAACTTATTTTTTGGGGATTTCCCATTGGTTTCCTGACCGGTAAAATGTAACGTTTTTTTTTTACATTCTGAGAACAGAAGTGAAAATGTAGCCTGCTCTAAGAATGTTCATTTTTAAGTTGCAGGGAGGTTCTGAGAACAATTTGCTATGGTTCCCTGAATGTTTTCCTGGGTGGTTTTATTAACGTTCTGAGAATGGAAATTATAGGTTATTCGAAGATACTTAAATAATGTTTCTGAGACTTTTAATAACACAGTTAGCTCAGGTTAACTGTTTTTAACTCCAAGCGCAGATAGACAGGTTGGTTGTTTAGTAACAAAACCGACGTGTGCGCAACTATGGGGCAAAACAGACGGGTTTGGCTTAGATTGTTGACAACATGTAAACGACATTTCGTCTCCAATGTTTATTGAAAACCTAAATAAATTTGCTCAATGAGCACTTGTTGTCTCTCATACATAATTCGTTGTTGGTTAGCTAGCTAGCAAATTTGCCATATTAGCATTGACATGAAATCAGTCAAAAAAACTCAAAACAAAACATGGTATCAAGAACAAGATGGAAACAGCCACTTGGCACTTGGATTCCCCACATGGCAGTTTCTTGTCATTGTTGCTAGCCAACTGGTCATCCAGAATCACAACAACTTGCAAACTTCTGCCCCATTGAAGCGTGCACATTGTTTTCATGACGTTGTCATCTAACCCATCTACAGGACACATTGTCACACCCTGATCTGTTTCACCTGTCTTGTGCTTGTCTCCACCCCCCTCCAGGTGTCTCCCATTCTCCCATTATCCCCTGTGTATTTATACCTGCGTTTTCTGTTTGTCTGTTGCCAGTTCGTCTTGTCTTGCCAAGTCTTACCAGTGTGTTTTCCCGTTTTCCAGTCTCTCTAGTCTCTGTTTTCTAGTCCTCCCGGTTCTGACAATTCTGCCTGCCCTGACCCTGAGCTTGCCTGCCGTTCTGTCCGTTATTAAACTCTGCCCTGTATTACTGACCATTCTGCCTGCCTTGACCCCGAGCCTGCCTGCCGTCCTGTACCTGTCGGATTCTGATCTGGTTACGAACCTCTGCCTGTCCTCGACCTGCCCTTTGCCTGCTCCCGTGTTATAATACATTCTGAGAACCTAACCATCCGCCTCCTGTGTCTGCATCTGGGTCATATCCTGAGTCGTGAAACACATGGAAATGAATCTGCTTAGAAACTAATCATGCAAACACATTTATTTTCTATTGTGGCATGGCATCAGTGAGATTCAAACCTATAATCTTCTGTTCTCTGTTTGTTTTACTCACACAAAGCTGTTCATTTGAATCTATTTTAGTCTATGAAAAATGGCGCTGACAGACAAGGTTGCCTTGCTTCTAGCTCTTAGGAAACTTTGCAGTATTCTTTTTTTAAATGTATTATTTCTTACGTTATTAGCCCACACATTTTTTTTGTGTTATTACATACAGCCGGGAAGAACTATTGGATATCAGAGCGGCGGTAACTCACCAGCACTACCAGCATTACGACTTTCCCGAAGCGGATCCTTTGTTTGCACCTCCCAGGGCAATTGAACTGATTCCAGAAGCTGACCCAAAACAACACTGGCGGAGGAGTGGTACTCAGAGCGGTCTTCTAGTCCGACTTAGGAGGCGTGCACACCACCCACCGCTTCCGAGTATATTACTCGCTAATGTTCAGTCTCTGGATAATAAAGTTGACAAGCTCAGGGCGAGGGTTTCTTTCCAGAGAGACATCAGGGATTGTAACATACTCTCTCGGGATATACTGTCCGAGTCAGTCCAGCCAGTTGGGTTCTCAGTTCATCTCGCAGACAGGAATAAATATCTCTCCGGGAAGCAGAAGGGCGGAGGTGTATGTTTTATGATTAACGACTCATACAGGAACTCAAGTCCTTTTGTTCACCTGACCTAGAATACCTCACAATGAAATGACGACTGTATTATCTCCCAAGATAATTTTCTTTGGTTATAGTCACGACTGTACATATCCTCCCTCAAGCCAATACCACAACAGCCCTCAAAGAACTTCACTGGACTTTATGCAAACTGGAAACCACATATCCTGAGGCTGCATTTATTGTAGCTGGGGATTTGAACAAAGCAAATTTGAGGAAAAGGCTGCCGAAGTTCTATCAACACATTGACGGTAGTACTCACGCTGCTAAAACACTCGATTACTGCTACAAGGCCTTCCCCTGCCCTCCTTTCGGCAAATCTGACCACGACTCCATTTTGCTTCTCCCTTCCTATAGGCAGAAACTCAAACAGGAAGTACCCTTGCTAAGGACTATTCAACGCTGATCAGCTGGTGTGTGTTTACGGACATATTCAATCTCTCCCTATCCCAGTCTCCTTCCCCACATGCTTCAAGATGGCCAAATTGTCCCTGTACCCAAGAAAGCAAAGGTAACTGAACTAAATGACTATCGTAGCACTCACTTCTGTCATCAATAAGTGCTTTGAGAGACTAGTTAAGGATCATATCACCTCTACCTTACCTGCCACCCTAGACCCACTTCAATTTACTTACCTCCCCAATAGATCCACAGACGATGCAATCGCCATCACACTGCACACTGCCCTATCCCATCTGGACAAGAGGAATACCAATGTAAGAATGCTGTTCATTGACTATAGCTCATCATTCAACACCATAGTACCCTCCAAGCTCATCATTAAGCTTGAGGCCCTGGTTCTGAACCCCGCCCTGTGCAACTGGGTCCTGGACTTCCTGACGGGCCACCCCCAGGTGGTGAAGGTAGGAAACAACACCTCCACTTCGCTGATCCTCAACACAGGGGCCCCACAAGGATGCGTGCTCAGCCCCCTCCTGTACTCCCTGTTCACCTATGACTGCGTGGCTAAGCACGCCTCCAACTCAATCATCAAGTTTGCAGACGACACAACAGTAGTATGCTTGATTACCAACAATGACGAGACAGCCTACAGGGAGGAGGTGAGGGCTCTTGGGGTACACACTGACAAACTGAAATGGTCCACCCACACAGAGAGTGTGGTGAAGAAGGCGCAACAGCGCCTCTTCAACCTCAGGAGGCTGAAGAAATTTGTCTTGGCACCTAAAACCCTCACAAACTTTTACTGATGCACAATTGAGAGCATCCTGTCGGGCTGTATCACCACCTGGTATGGCAAATGCTCCGCCCACAACCGCAGGGCTCTCCGGAAGGGCTCTCGCATCGTCGGGGGCAAACTACCC